ACGACATTATTGACCAAATTAGTGTGGATCGCTGGCCTGTACCTCAAGGACACAGACCTCTTCGTGCTACCGGAGCTGCTCTAGCTGTGGCTGTCACTTTGCTAGAGGTTAGAAACCCGGATTCAGTTATGCCATAGGGAATGCTTGATTGGATTTTAGCAATGTTTCCCAAATACTGGCGCCAGAATCATGGCGTTCGTTGGAGGCGCGTGCACCTTCGGACCAGGAGCTGTTGTAGGAGAGGAACTGAAGACGCCTATCCGCTCGTGGCATACTATTAAGGAGGATAATGCTATTTTCATGAGGAAGGTTTGTATTGATGAACATGGGAAATTAGTTATTCTGTGAATAAGTGACTTCAAACTCTAATTGATTTATATTGACGATTATTCTCTTCTTTCCTGTCTAGGCTACAAAGTTCTACGACTCACTTGCATCGCGTGCAGTCAAAAATGGTCATGCCATCGACATCTACTCTTGTGCTCTTGATCAAACTGGTTTGCTAGAAATGAAGAACTGCTTCCATTCCACTGGAGGTAGGCAGCTTTTCGTTTATGTGAAAATTTATCCCCCTTTGTTTTTTCTCCAAAGTGACCCCTGCATTTTCTCAAATCCTCATTTTTGCGTGGTGTTAAGGTGTCTCTTTTCAGCAATCAACAAATTGGAAACAATGCACATAGCCTAAAATTATCTGTCACAGATGTCATTCTTCGTAAGCTGAGAAAAAGCACATCTTAGTGAAAACATAGTTTTTCACTGACGGCAATCCTTTTTTTTTCAAGTGTTGAAACATACACTGACATTTCAAAATCAAGGCGCTGTTCTTCAGAAAAGGTCGTATACAAAGGCATTTTCTTTCATGTGGATTGTGTAGTAAATCGATCCTCTATTCATCTCATCGTATAGAGACTCCAAGTTATGCCATAAGTACATTGATCTAGTCTGAGTTTGCTATCGTTCGCTGCATGCGCGTGCTTTTACTTACATTAGTGAAGAGGATTAGTGCGCGTTAATATCATCTGAAGTAATCCTTGATGATGATTTGTTAAGGATATTGACGTGAAATCTCATGAGCCCAGGTTACTATGAAGGATTAATCAAGAATCAACTCTCACGCTTGTGTGCTCACCGATTTGAGTGTCGGACTGTTGGTTCCTCCTATTTGTACTTCCTTTCTAGGTAATGTCGTAATGGGAGACTCATTCAACTCGTCGCTTTTCAAACAAACATATCAAAGAGCATTTGACAAGGATGCCAATGGTCAATTGAAAATGGGTTTCAATGCGACTATGGAGGTGAGGAGCTGTTGCTTGATTTATTACTATTTGCAAAAATTCAAAATTTTTAACAGTTATCTATATTGGGCTAACTTGCGCTACTCGCGTTATAATTTTAAGAACTTTGTCATATTTGGAAATCT